GTCTGATTTATAAGACTGCTCTGTAAAGAGCACTCCCTTTTACTCTGAAAAGTGTCCCTGGTTGGATGATAAATTACATGCCCCCCCCCCAAAAAAAACAATACCCATGTGTTATTCATTCCTGACTCTGCACTTTCTTCTTGCTATTTTTTTTTTCCCACTAAATATTTACAACTCTTCTTTCTTCCTTCTAGAACTCCATTCTTTACAGTCGACCTTTCAGAACCACTTTTTTTTCTAAGTAGAATGGGCATTATTAGGTCTACTAGACACATGTGGAAACAAAGGCAGAAAGAGGAAGACTAAATTCAGAAATGAGAGAGAGAGGTCATAGGCATCTGTACTTAATACAATTAGATCAGAAGAAACACATGAACAGCCACCCCAGGCCTAGAACTCTGGTCTGCTGATTCTGAAGTTTAGGTTATTTCTTAAGGTCCCCTGAAGGAGAAAGAAAGAACAATAGTTTGGATATTTATATTATTTACATATGTATTTTTATAAATTTTGAATTTAAAGAACATATATGATCTAGGTAAGAGGGAGTATATGTCTACAACAAGAGGTGGCTTGAAATAAGGAAGGGAAAAGGGAAAAATAATGTTTTAGTCAGAAAACTTCCTTGTGCCTTATGATGAAGGACCGTGGGAAATATGAGCAGATAATGATGCCTTGCATTAGAGCTCTCAAAACATGTTAAACTAAAATGTTGATGAAAACAAAATCCTAAACCCTGTAAACGAGCAAATAACATCTCATTCCTTAAGAAGAAATGGAGGTTGACGGGAGTGAAATGAATCACCTAAGGCCCCCAAATGTGGTGACTGAGCTGGAGCCAGAATTCAGGTCCATGGGTCTTTCTAGATCCTTTCTGCCATACCCATCTTTCTCTGAGCTTTGCTAGCAAAAGATGGTCTAATCAACACTAAACATGGCCTTTAAGTGGTATGACCATAGTTTTATCATCAAAACTAGGACACCTGAAAGTGAAAGGGGACACTTTTCATAATTACATGGGAACGACAGAGGTAACCTGGGATTGTCCCACTCAAACTGGGGTGTATGGTCACCTTGGACCCCCCCTTTATATATTATAGTGTGCTATCCTGATTTTCACATTAGACAGCATGAGCTATTTAAACCTTTGTGCCCTCCCCAATCTACAGAGGAGATTCATCTAGTTGGATTAAATAATCAATTTGAGCTCTTTTAAATGTTTTAACTCATGTTGTTTATGCATTAAAAAAATGAAGAAAGGTCACTCCTACACCACCTATACACGTAAGTTTCTGATGGTTGCTCAAGTAAGATCATCTGATAGGTATACTCCAAGCCCTGCATGCCTACTGAAAAACCACAGCTCTCTCTCCTTTCTTGATGGATAACTGATCCTCAAATCCTGCTCATTCTATCTCATGGGTATCCAGCCAGAACATCCAATGTTTTCCACTCCCAGTGCTACTACCAATCGTCTTCATGCAACCATCTTCCTCCTTATTTTTCTCCAGAAACATCTTGGTCCCTCCTTTTGGTTTCCTCTAATCTCTCTTCACACTACAGCCTGAGTGGTTTTCCAAAACACTCATCAGCCACATAGACATCCTGCTTTCAAAGCCTAGCAAAGCTTCCCTTCCTATCTTCCTACACAGAGACACTAACATGCCCACTGCCAAGGAAGCAGTGATGAGGCAAGGGGTGGCATGGGTGGACTGGAAGGTAGCTGCTAACCAGTTCCTGATTATCCTTATGTATCAGATGAAGCAAAACTTTCCCAGAAGCCTTCACACTAAACTCTATTAAGACTTATAAGTTACTGATTTGACTCCTCTTATGAAGTATCGTCAACATCAAGGCAGGGACCACTATAATTTCATTGGCCCGATGTAGAATAAAAGCTCAAGAATTTGTTATTGAAAGAAAAAAAATGAATAAACAGATGTCAATAATTTACAGTTACATGTATCAAGTAACAAACTTCTCTGGGCAGGTAATAAACATGATTTTTTAAAGAATAACCATTAATTTCTGGATATAGTTTTAAAATCAATGGATCCTACATTTAATGGGAATTTTTTTTTCAATTACTAAGATTGCCAGATCTTTTAAAAAATTTTTTAGAGAACAAAAATTCATAAAATTTCTAAAGTACAATGCTATGCGGGTCTTATTTGGGGCTGAATGTTTAAAAATTCAAGAAAACCTCCTGAATATATAAACATGGAAGAGTATTCTGAGAAATACCTGCACTGTCGTCTCTGTAGATGAGCTGGGCCATATAGTCCTGACCTAACAGATTCCTCACCCTTGGGCCAACCATGGTGAGGGCTGGAAGAGGAGCTCCATCCTGGCCCAAGGAAGCCAGAGCTGTTCTGGCTCTGTCTAGGAAGAGCCATTTGCAAGCATCACTGCTAGGGTGGCTTTTATTAGATCATTTTTATTAAAAAGTGTACATTCCTCAGTGCAAAGAAATAACAATGTGCAGAAAAACAGTAGGTTCGATTCAAAGTTGTGTCCTCAGCCTTAAATGAAAAGTAAAAATTCCTGAGGTGGAGAAAAAGTATTTACCTACAAAATTCAAGCTAACAATTGGGCAAAAGGTACAGCTGAACTTAAACCTACCACTAGGCACATAGATTGTTCTGGAATATTGTCATTCCTTGGGAAAACTAGCAACATTAATTTAGGGCTAAAAGATTAATCTTTTATTTCTTTGTCAAGTCTTTGGTCAAACAGCTTTTATAGTGTGTGTGTGTGTGTGTGTGTGTGTGTGTGTGTGTGTTTGTGTGTGTGTGTGTGTGTACTTATATGCAAGTCTGAAGGAGTCTCAGCTTCATTCAAATGAAATCTCTCTTCCATCTTTTGCTCTCCTTTCTCAGGAAAATGTCTACATTACTTTTGAAGAAGAGGCTTAATCCTTTGAGAGATCAATTCCTCCTGCCACACCATCACCTTAAAAAGTGGCCTTGCAATTTAAAGAGAAGAAATGTAGAAAAGCGAAGTTGCCTTTCTTTATCTGCATCCCCAAATTATCATAATGATCCTTATAAAAAGATCTTTCTTTCATTGTTATGGAACAACACGAAGACTGACAGCATGCTGTAAATTCCAGTTTAGATTCTGCCATTTCTTAGCTGTGTTAACTCTAGCCAGGTGAGTTTCCCCATGGCTAAAATTATCATGTCTCAAGGTTCCAGCCACTATATGAGACAATTTCACTCACCTTCACATCGTGAGAAATATCAAAGTATTTAGAGGTTTAGTGGCTTTCTAAAAATCACAGAATTGTGATGGATGAACAAGGAATTAAATTTGGCTCTCTGAATTCCACACCCTTTCTTCTAGCATAATTTGCTTTAAAATCCTTGAGAAAGTGTCACTGAAGACAAGGGTAGTACTATATTAAAAAATAGTTTCCCAAGAGACCCAAAAAGAAAAACAAAAATAAAAACAATTACTATAGATTATCACTCATGCCTACATTTTTTCATCCTATCTACTACTTACTATAGCTATTTGATACACTATGCTTTTGTAATGCTGAATACTAGGGTCAAGATCATATGTTTTTCTGGTTAGGTTTTATGAACAAAGATAAAAAGCTTATAGTGAAGGAATTAAAGCATATCACTGATGAATACAAAGAATTAATTCTCAGTTTATTCCTAGACATTTATTCAGAATTTAGTGACCTACAAAATACTCTTAACATAAATAACAGCCCTAAAACATTCATGTGAAAGTGATAATGTTTTAATGATCGCAACAACTGTGCTTCACAGTATTACTAACATGAGTAGAGCAGGGCAAATTCTCTCCAAAAGATGCTAGTAAATTTTTTAAAGTACAAAACAAGGTCTTTAAATATTTTAGCCATAAGATGCTAATAAAATTGAATTTATGTCTAGTTTAATTCAACAATGGAAAAGTCAGCAGTTAAAATGTAGATAAACTTCCCTTAGTCCCTCTTTTCCTGAGAAACTTTCAAATGTCGAAAATCTATTCCTTTTGTCCTCTTGATATTCATCTGCTACACATTAAATAGAAACTGGGCATAGTGATTCCCACAGGGTCTTTCATCTACAAAGAAGCCTAGTACAAATTAAATTCTTACTCTCCCTCACAAATTATAGATATGTATTATAGTAGACCATTGATTTATCAGTTCATGGTTTTGCTAGTTCAGCTAATTACAGACTTTATGTAAAGGTACTTTAGGGCTGGGGATTGCGGTGCTGGATTAATGCAGAGCAGTGCCATGCTGCTCTTACAGATGCTCTTGACTTACAGACTCTTTTAAAAAGCATTCTGTTAGATATTGTATTTTAGTTACTTCCCAGATCTTTGAGCCATTTAGGCGTGTGTGTGTGTGTGTGTGTGTGTGTGTGTGTGTGTGTGTGAATTTACTGGAAAAGTACTAAATATACTGCCTCTGGCAGTGATGTTATATTATGAAATGATCATCATACTGGTTATTACAAATAATGTGGAAAAACTGACTATGCAGAAAATCTCTTAGAAATGTTTAACTGATGCAAACATTGTTTTAGCATTGGATTTTAGGACCCATAGTTAAGGAAATGACTTCGATTGCAGGCATGCAATATGTTTTTGGAGAGAGTACAGATTACACAGGGTATCTCTATTAAACTCTTTCTATTAGAAGGAAACAACACATATGTTAATACACACAGCTGAGTTTTGAGTCTCCGAATAGTGCTAGGAAGATATAAGAATTTCACTTTAATCTGTTACTCCCCAAATATATTAAAAACCTTTTTTGGGGGCAGACTTGTTCTAAGTCTTTAATAAAGACAAAATTTAATCAGCTCTTGATCAATTCCAGAAATACCAGGACTCCCCAAATTATTCTAATTTTCCCCTTATGATTTGTTTGTCTAAGTCCAATATCTACTTTTATTTGCGATCTCTTGGATCAAAAACTAGCAATGTAATTAGTGGAAGCTATCTTCTGTCCTTGGAAGCTCCCATCCAGGCCTCACCTCACTGGAATCCTCCTGCTGATTAATGACAGCGAGCGCGTCTTCTGCCGCCTGCCGCTTGGCCTCTGCGACGGTGCGCTCCATCTTGGCGCGCTCTGTCGTGATCATGTCGTGGGCTTTCCTCTCGGCTTCGGACACGGCCTTTTGCAGCTCAGTCATCGCCTGGCGCTTTACCTCGTTAACGGCCTCCTCTGTATTCCAGGCAGACCAAACCGGACAAGAGAACATTTCTCTGTTAGTTTATGTAGGCCCTTGGATACTGATCGCTGTTAAATAGAATTCTATAGAACAAGCATGACTCCCATCCCAGTTATTGGGCAGTTCTTCTGTCTGTCTACAAAACAAATTTCTAAAATTCATTTAGGAAAACAAAGAGTGGAACCTTTTCTTTAACATGCACTTCTGGGAATATTTTTTAAACTACTATATCATTTCAACTTTTCTACTACAACTAGTGCCCCCAGAAAGGATCATGAAACCAAACTAAGTAGTTAAAGGACAAAAACAACCACAAGAAACCTGTCTGGATAATTCAGACACATAATGAAGGTGGTTTGCCACAATGTTACAGGTTAATATTAATATAGGAAATACATGGGGGTAAAGCTTTCAGAAAAAGAGAGGAAGGAAATATATTTTACACAAACATATAAGTGCAAACAATTATTTTACTGATAAAAATAACAGTGAAAAGGTAATTCATATAGCAATTATGTTAATGCAGACCTTTTAAAGAAAATCAATGATGGCACAGACAGACGATTCAGCTTTTTTCTTAAATCATTTCCAGAGTATGTGGATATTGCCTTTATAAACTAAATGACAGGGATTTTTAAAAATCATTTGCTCATTGCCAAATTTTAAGCTGTTGTCCATCTACTTAATCAAGTTCGGACAGTTTCCCACAACCAACTGTTGCACTGGGCAAATATAGCTGAATCATACCACAGGCCAAAACAATAAGGCCCAACTACAAACCTGCAAGGTGACAAATTAGCTCTTTATTTTTGGTAGTGGAAAGGGTGCAAAGATTTGACTAAAGTACAACATAAGATTGACAACTAAAACATGTAATTTCCACTATAAAAATTAATTGTTCTAATTAATAAAGGAAAATATCCTCCCCCTGAATTAGTTTATCTAATTTTCATCTTTATTCAAAGCAAAATAACAATGATTAATTGAAAATTTAATAAGCAGTAATTATTAACTTGGCAAACCTAGTGCCAATTAACACTCTATTAAAACTAATTATGACATGTTTCATTCAAGTGTTTGCACTTAATGTTCACTCACTTAAAAAGCACCTTAATTAAATGTTCTGTTTAATTAAAAACATAGATTCCTAATAAAAATGTTTTACTGTAGATTAAAAATGTAAGAGATGCAAATACTCCTATGGTTTCTTAAATTTCTATGGTTTATTTTACACATTTGTAGTCCATGACTTGAGGTTCACCAAAAACCTTCCACTAGTATTAATTGTCATGACTTTTGTGCCCTCCATCATTTTAGCAGCATCATTTCTTAAGTTTACTTATTTGCAATTACTGTCTGATAGGTCTT